ACTTCTCTTGTGTCAACAATATGACCATTCCCCTGTTCATAATATGGAAGACAGAAAATTGTAATCAATTCAGTGGACCATAAAAATGCAATTAGTGTGTAAGTACCAATTATATCCGATTCTTCGCAGCTAACATTCCATTCTTACCTATGGCACGTTTCTGTTTCTCTTAGAAATATCGCTTACATGGCTGAACATCGTCACCATCTGTATTCCTGAAAGTTTCACAAATCGATATAAGCTGAGATTGGAAATGAGACACGTCAATTTTCTTCGATGCTTCCGAATATCTGTTCGTGATGAAGTAATAAATATCGAGATTGCTTTCTCATTGCCACATCGGTTCAAAATTGTTGTGGTTACCTCTCATGTATTTCCCAATTCAATGAGTATCAACGTTTCAATGTTTTCCTTATGAATAACTTCTATAATAATCGCCGTGTACTGGCATAATGATAATTCCCGTAGAAACTTCATCAATAATAACTGCCAAGGAGATACAAATGAATGAATTAGTCTAATACACTTTTCAACTGACACTGGGTAAAAAAAACCAATTTACTAAGTCATGAAAATTATATTTCATGTAAATAATATTCCATGTATTTTTGTTTGTTTGGCTTTGATTATTAACAATCCACGAGACCTAATTTTATTTGGAATGATGTTTAATTCAAATAAGAAGCCCTGACTTTCTCTCATTATTATACAATATTCTTTTCCGTTTTCTATTTTTTTTTCTTGATTTATAATTTTCAAAGTTATCGGGGGAGTTATTTGGGAGCTACAATTTTATCTTACACCTCATGAGTTGATTTCACAAAGCCGTATATACCTTGCACGTTTAGTTTGTTGGTGAGTGGCAACAAAATTAGAAGGGTTTTGCGTATTCGGCCATTTTCTGCTATCGAAAACAATGAATTCGCATCAAATTTTGTGTAATGAATATAGTTTAAAAAACTAAAAAACACGCTTTTGGAAAACATTGAACTAAAAAGTTAAAAATATTTTTTTAAATAAGCTCAAAACAATGACGAATGAATAATACTAGTATTGAATTTCACTGGTTCGGACTTCCATTGTCTACCATATAAAATGATTTGAAATCCCTGAAACAACTAAAAAAGAAGAAT